TAAAATTAATAATTTTAATAATAAAAAATAAAAATATTTTAAAAAATACACTTATTTGTTTTTAAATATGTCCTTATTAGTAATTTAACGTTAAACAATAACCGCTAACTATTGTATAGCCAAACAGTTATATTTACTGAATCCGTTATTTACCATCCGCTACCCATTTCTACTATTCACCATCCACTATCCATTAACCGTCACCCGCTACCCACTACCGCTATCCGCTATTCGCTATTCGCTATCCGCTATCCGCTACACACTATTCGTTATCCATTGAATTTTAACCGTTGTACCAAATAGACCTTAAGTACTGTATCTCTGTGGACGGACGGTCACAAATCACAATGTGGTCCAACATCAGTCAATCCGCGACATATCCCATGTGACGCTAATTTGACAACTCTAATCTTAACTGAAATGAAGCTTAATAGAGAAGGCAAAAGGTGCATATCACCCCCTCAACTCAACAACTGGTGGCAAATTACCCCTTCAACCCATTTCACGCGCAAATCACCCCCTTAACTCACCTGCAGTGGCAAATCACCCCCTCTATTAACATCGGCACTATTCTTTCGTTAGTTTTAACAGTTTGCTTATTAGCCCTTCCTCCGTCGATCCCGTCGAATACCACCGACCCAAAAGTCATCTTCAAGCTAGCTCTCCGCGTGGTCATCGACGAGCTCATGAAGGTCTCCGTTTACCTTGACCAGCTAAAGGGGAAAATCATGGATACCCGTGTCAAGGTTGCGTTGGATGTCTGCGCCACCGTGATTGACGACGCGCTGGATCGACTCAATGAGTCGGTTTCCACAATGGAAGTCAGCAAGGGGGAGAAGCTGCTATCGACGTTGAAGATCGACGCTTTGAAGACATGGCTCAACGCTTCCATTACCGATCAAGAAACCTGCTTTGATGCCTTGGACGAATTGAATGGGACAGAGCACTTGGCGATTCATGACAAATTAAAAACGGCGATGCAGAATTCCACCGAATTTGCAAGTAATAGTCTGGCAATTGTCACTAAAATCTTAAGCCTACTTGCGGATTTCAACATCCCAATTCACAAGAAGTTAACCAGAGTCCAAGAAACAGAGTCGGACTTTCCAGGTTGGGTAAGCCCCGACAACAGGAGGCTGCTGCAGGAAACGACCCCTTCTCCAGATTTAATAGTGGCACAGGACAGATCCGGTAAGTACAAAACAATCAGAGAGGCGGTGGCGGCAGTGCCGAATAAGAGCAAGACTAGATTTATTATAAAGGTGAAGGAAAGGACATATAAGGAGAATGTGAATCTAGACAAGAGCAAGTGGAATGTGATGATGTTCGGGGAAGGAAAAACAAAAAACATCATTATCGGCAAGCTAAATTTCATTGATGAAACTCCTACCTTTTCCACTGCTACCTTCGGTAAGTCCAGTCCCCTTCTTAGTCCTCACTTAATAATTTTGGGGAAGAAAAAGAAGATCACATGGGATATGGATGTTGACATGTGAAATTGTTTATGATTCATGATACTCATATGTGGTTTTCTTTTCTTTTCTTTTCTTTTTTTTTATCTGGGTTTGTTGTTTGAATGAAAATGGTGACTCTGATTACATAAACAAGCCATGTCAAATGCAGAGGACGAGTTGAAGAAAGAGGTGTCAAGCTTGTTGCATTTAGGGCTTCCATTGCATGGTTCTCTGCTTATCTGCTCTCAGAGAAACGAGGAAGAAGAAACTA